CCTGCAACCGTTTGTGCATGCAAATAATACATAACGCTGGATCCTATAGACAGTCGAATACTTGACACTACCCTAAGCCCTTAATCAGAAAAGAACATGAAATAAGTCTAAATCAAACTTTATCAGGCTATAAAATCTTAGTTATGTGTGACTATGACGCATACACTAAGCAACTACAGTAATGATGTCAATTTCATACAAGAAGTCCTACTAGGCTATCAAGCATCATACATCATGCAATTCTATCATGAAATTCCCGAAGATCCCTAGCCTAATACTAGGATTCAGTTCTGTCATAATCATCATAAGCAAATAGAAAAGTGGGTATATTGGGGTACACTTTCTTGCTCTGGATGATCGTACACATCTCATCCTTCTTTGGTTACCTTTGTAAATAACTTGGAAAACAGTTTTGAAAACAATTTGAATCAATTTTTGAAAACAATTTTCAAAACTTTTACAACTCCTTAGCTTGAGACTGGATTCACACGAATGCTCATCCAATTCACTCAAACCAGGGCTCTGATACCACTTGTAACATCCCAAAAATCAGAGAAAAACTTTCATTTTTAAAACCAAGCCCAAAACCATAATTGTTTACAAACACTATTTCTAGAAAACATAATTACAAATCAGAGTATACCAAAAATCGAATTTCATAAAATATGAAGGATGTGCACAATCAAGCCTTTCTCTTGCCCCAATCATATGAGGAACCTGAAACCATAACAAAGCACCGTAAGCACGAAGCTTAGTGAGTTCCCCCAAAATACCACTACATAAACATATAACAACATATATACTGGGTCCACAACTAACATACTGGATTACCCCCGAGCTCACAACATGAGTCTGGCTTCCCTTTCGACCCACAACTTATGTCTGGCTTGCTCCCGAGCCCACAACATAAGTCTGGCTTGCCTTACTGACCCACAACCTATGTCTGGCTTGCTCCCGAGGCCACAACATAGGACTGGCTTGCCTTACTGGCCCACAACTTACGTATGGCTTGCTCTTAGGTTTGTTGGCTTCCGTATAGAAGAGGATTGCCTCAACCCAACCATACCATGTCGACATATACATAACAAATAACATGTATCCAACAAACAGATAATCATATATAACCGGTTTGAAAAACAGGCAGATCTCCAGATCACTACCGTATAGCAACATCCTATATACTAGGACACAGATCTAACAGATCACTACAACATAGCAACATCCTCTATACCAGGATACACAACCTAGTAGGTCGGCATTGGTGTCTTCGACCCACGAGTACAGTGAGGAAAAAACACCTCTCTGTCTGAAAAAGATTGTTGAACAGTACACAATTCTGAATATCAGCTCTTCCGGTCACATATTCACCGGAACATGGCAAACTTAACTTATAATCAAAATACCCAAAATACCCCTAGGTCAAACTTGGTCAAAAACAGGTCAAAGTCAAAAAGTAAAAAATTCCACCGAGTCAACTCAATTGAGTACATCTAGCGTACTCAGCTGGTATGCATGGCATACTAGCATATTGACCAGAAAAGCGAGATGTTGACCTGCTATGCCCAGCGTACCATTTCGTACGCCCAACGTACGCACTTGTCACATTTTCTTCTATTAAGAGCTTAATCCTTAAGCTCTTTTGTTCAAATTCCAGATCTATTCCTCAAATATTGTCCTTTACCATAAAGATTCCAACTTTATGGTATTGCATGGCTATTAAGTGCTCAATACCAAAAACCCTAACTTCTTAATTCATTAAGACAACCTAGATCATGCATGGAAAGAAACTAATGACCAAGACTACATTTTTATGCTTCTAGACACACTAAAATGTCTGAAAGGACAACTTATATGGATTAGAGTAACCCATACTCATAATACCAAGCATAAGGGACCAAAAGAACACCATTTCATGGCTAAACAAGATCTAATCAATACTTCATCAAGTTCATAGCTTTTTACCTCCAAATGATGCCAAATGATGATCTGATTCTGGATCCAAAGTGTTCCACTCTTCCAAGATGATCTTCTCTTCTTTGTACCTCCTTCAAGATTACCAAAACACACTCTAATGGCTCAAAATGCTCTCAAATGGATTAGGGTTTGCAAGGGGGCAAAATGGGGCTGGAGGCTGATGAAAGAAAGAAGACTTGGGAGTTAAAGATTTTTAGATAGGGTTCAAACCCTAAAAATTAGGGTTTGACCCTTGACCACGTATGCGCAGCGTACTCAAGAAAACCCATATACGCCCAACGTACTCACGCAACCCCTAAAATTACAAAAATGCCACTGAAGATCATATTGCAAACAATTCTCATACCAAGGGCTAAAAGTGTAATTACTTGGAAATCGAGATGTTACATCATCCTTGGGCACCAAGGTTACATTAGTTTGACTCCTTACAATATTTAAGCACTAAAACGTTTGTCTAACACGTAAAACTTAAAAGAACGCATACATTTTTTAATTCTCGTTCTCCTTTATTTTATCATATGAAAATAAACGAAAGATTGTAACAAGTTACTATAGGGTGGGGGGTCATTTTTTTACTATTAGATTAAGTTATCAATGTATGTAGCGTTTTATTCGCCGTTATAATCGGTTATTTATTTATTCAATTCGGTTTAATCAGTCTTTTGACTTTTAAAATATTAGCCGAAACCGAACCAAATAAGGTTTGGATAAATCGGTTTTCAAGTTATTTTTGTTTAGTTCGCGGTTAAATATGAATAATAAAAATCAACATTTCAAGTGTATTAAGAAACATTGATTTGTCCAAAAATAACTTAACAAACAGCGTCTAAGTCAGTCGCAGGTCAAAAAAAACGATGACAATGTGCATTGTGTGTATATGCATATTTGTGAATATTCAAATTTGCATATATGCACATTACAAAAAACATCATTTTTTTATTATTATTATGGTGAGACTGGCTTAGACGATGCACTATGGATGGCGTTGTGATGTTAGTTTTGAAAATTTTGAACGAAAAAAAAAAGTAAAAAGAAATCAAGTTTTCACACAAATATTGGTTCTAAAAATTATTTTGATTTTGTTCACATGTAGTCCTTTTTTTTACATTATATTATCTAATTTATTGAAATTGTTCACATTTACCCTTCTAACCTGCAATAGCCGATTACAAGAATAAAATGCGAACAATTTCAACAAGTTTGACGGTATATGATATACACAAAAAAAGTATTAAATATGAACAAAATCAATAGTTCGTTGTTCACATTTTACTCTCTTGAGTGATTTTTCCTCATTTTTATTAAACTTATTTAACACTAAGTTAATTATTTATAATTTGTATCGATATATCTATATGATAACTAATTATTTATGTAAATAAATGAAGTAATTAAATTTGATAATAAAATCGGAAGATAATTGTCTAGTTAATAAGAAGTGGGATCAAAGAAGCTTTTGCAAAGCTTTTTAAGATTTTAGTCTGTAATAATCGAATAAATATGAAGTTAGAATAAGAAATCATTTTTGTTTGTCGTATATGTAAATACTTTTAATACCGATTTTTTCATTTTTTAGGGATGGCTTGTTTTTTTATTCATTGGAAAGTTATTTTAAAATTATAAATTATTTTTATTTATATAATCTTTAATAATATTAATATTTAAATAACAAATTTTTATTTTAGTTATTACTATTTTTATCTACCGAAAATAAGTAAAATATTTTTTAATTATAATAATAAATTAAAATTTTAATGGTATTTTTGTTATTTTGTAAATAAAATTTTCATGATATATAAATTTGTATAACTATTTAATATACATTTATATTATATATTTAAATGAAATAAATATGTTTATATGCAATTTGTTATATTTTTATTTAAATTTTAAAAATAAAAATAAAAATAAATATTCTTCTACATTTGTCAATTTAGTTTTACTTAATTTTCTATTTATATATAACAAAAAATATTTGACAGACTTATTCAATTATTTAAAGTCATCAAAATTCGAACATGATCGTAAAATAAAATCTTTTATTTTATTATTTTGTAGTCTATTAATTTATAATTTCATTCAGTTATACGAAACATACCACCTATTTATATTCTAATTTGCTAGAGATTTGAAAACACCTTTGTGGAGGATATATATATATATCTATATATATATATATATATATATATATATATATATATATATATCTATATATATATATATAATCCAAGGGTTTGTTTGATTATGGAAAACTATTTTTATTTTTCTAGAAAACGTTTTCAAATAATAAAGTTAAGTTTTCATTTTCAGTTTTCAATGAAATTTTTAGAAAATGTGTTTGGTTATAACTTGTGGAATTTTCATTTTCAATTTTAGAAAACTTTGAAAAACTGTAAAAACTATTTTTCTAATTTACATACAATTTGAAAAAAAAAAAATTTCATTTTCTTGGAATAATTTTGAAAAATATTTCAACCAAATACGTTTTTAAAATTTTCATTTCCATTTGAAAATTTTCCCAATCAAAAGCATCCTAACCAACTAATAAACTACTCCTAATACCATATGTATCGTAGACGGGACTTAAAAACCCTCGACCTTAAAAAGAGAGGACAGTATCTGATACCGTTATACTAGAAACTCTTTGGTTAATATAATTTATATAACTATATAAAATATGTGCAAAGTAATTTATATTTTTGGATTAAAATATGTCAAAGTAATTATATAAAAAAATTTAGAGTTTTTTTTAGATTAAACCTCAATCTATTTATTTCTAGAAAAACCTATATATTTTATTATTTTCTTTGATTTAGATCTAATTAAAGTATAATTTAAAAAATAAAAAACTATAAAGAAAACTGTAAAATATAACAGCTTTTTTAGAAATAAAAAAAAGTTTAAGCTAACAAAAATAACCTAATATATAATTTTTTTTTAAATTGACAATATAATTAAGAATAAATGGTAAAACATAAAACATATATGTATAGGCCTCACATATATATTGGCTTATTTTTGTCCAGCCAAGTTGGAGTGACATGGATGCTAATCAACATGTAAATAATGTGAAGTACATTGGTTGGATTTTGGAGGTCTCTCTCTCTCTCTCCCTCCCTCCCTCCCTCCCTCTCTCTCTCTCTCTCTCTCTCTCTCTCTCTCTCTCTCATGTACAAGTGGATATGCAGAGTGTACCAATTAAAGTACTAGAGGAGTACTACATGGGAAGCATAACATTGGAATACAGAAGGGAATGTCGTCAATCCGATATGTTGGATTCTTTAACAAGCATGAAAACAAGGCTCCTAAAACAAGACCAAAAAGTTCCCATAAGTACAACTCTGAATGCATGCGGTCCAACTCCTAATGCACGTGGTACAACTTCAACACCAAATTTGGAATGCACACATTTGGTAAGAATGCAAGATGACAAAGTTGAAATAGTCCGAGCAAGAACAGTATGGATTTCAAAACATTAAAATCCACACACCAAAAATATATATATATATATATTTGTTTGTTATTTGTTTATTGAAATCGTAAATGCTGTTTGACCTATATGGTATAAATTACATTTGTATGGTCGTTTTAGTCAAATTCCCGATTGTATTTTGACCACTAATCTTGTTTTTAGGCAAAAGTTTTTCATCTTTATGGAATTAACATAATTAACTTTTAGTTTTATGTGATGTTCGGATTTTACTTTGAAATACCATAGCTAGGCAAAATACGACTTGACATTGAAATAAAGAAAATTGTATATAAAAGACACTAAACTTGTATAAAACTTGGATTTTGACATTATGTTTTTTTTTCTCAATTAATTCAGTAAGTTTACAATTTATCTAACCATTCAATCGATTTGCTTCAGGTGCTTCATGTTTATTACTTGTTAATTAGACAAAAAGTTGTTTTCGTTTCCACATATGATCCTAGTTGATAAACATTTAGGTTAAATTAAACCATTACATAGATATGCACCAACTTTCCTTTATTTATTCATCTTTTCTTCTTTCAAAGCATTATGATTTTGTATAATCGCTTCCCAAAGTATCTCAAGTAGGTAATCCTATACCGGTGTAAACAGGCCAGGTATGGTTGTTCATATTAACATTTCCTAAACGAAACATTCATTGCCTTTTTTACACTACTATGAGATGATGAATCACTAGAGCGACCTTTGGAAGTCATTGCACAAAATCGTGATAATCTAAGTATAACGTCCCAAATTCCAACCAAAATTTTGATTTAAAATTGTAATAATCATTCAAAATTCATTCCTTGAAAATGTATCATTACATTCATCTGTTTAAAATTCATAAAGTCAAATCAGAGTAAAATTATAAAACCCACGGAAGTCGAAATAACAATATGACACCGACGTGATATACCATTACGCCGCACCCTTCCTTTTCAATTCCAATCAACCTGAAAAATATTTAAGTTAACAACGTAAGCATAAAGGTTATTGAGTTTCCCAGTATACCACACATTCCACCATACATACAATACATACAAACAAAGGCTATCGACTCTAGTACTGATCCACCTGATCAACGACAACTAACTGTTTTGGTGTTGTCTAGTCATCAGCGTCGACTAAGAGCTCTGGTATTGTCTAGTCATCAACAACGAGTATTCTAGTCTCACAACTCTAATTTTGTTCCACCATCAACCCCCAAACATAATATATATCAACATGCAATCAAATAATAAACATGCAAAAGACAAAACTAGCATCCTTACATAATCAACATACCACAACACATCTACATCATATTATGCAAAGGATATATAATATAACACAGAGTATATTGAGATAATTCACCTGATTCTAGCAGCAAAAACTCGACAAAAGTCTCCACAACAAACGAATAACACAAACACCTAACACCAAAGTGAGACCAACCCCTCAATCAAATTCTTAAGTCCACCAAAGTTTGACCAAAAGTCAAATTGGTCAAAAAGATAATGATCAACCGGTCAAAGTCAACATCAATAGTCAACTGGTCAAAATGCACCGCGACCTAGCTTCTAGTCGCGTTGCGAACACTAGGTGACAAAACAGTTGCAAATTCAACTTAGTCCTCGTGTCGAGACCTATCCTTGGTCCCGCCGTGATTTACGGTGATATTTTTATTTCTTATTAAGCAATTAATCCTTAATACCTAAGCTTAAAACGTCTAGAATACTTCAGAATATGAACTTAATGGATAGCGTTTCCAACTTTATCTATTTGAATGTTGTAACATCCGGTTTCGAGAAGTTTCTTATTTCAGGATTGTATAAAATAAATGGATCAAAAAAGGCCTTGGGCTTCAATGGAATAGAGTGTAGAACCTATTGGATGTTGATAATATTTGTTATGTGATCTAAGCCTTGGTTTTGTGTTTTTGAGTCAAAGGGGAAAGTGGGAAAGTGACGTTTTGGGCTTTCTTTATGGATTATGGTTTGTAGTTCGGCATGTGTTAATACAAAATAAACTAGATAGAAGTGTTGGGCTTGTCAATACCTTTCCGTGGATATAAGGATTGCCGAAAACGGAGTTGAAATGAAGAAGTTATGATTGTTTGAAGTTGGAAAGGATTTGGGCGAAAACCGTCATCACAAAGTGGTGAGACGGGACCATAAGGTGGTGGTCACCATAGAGTGGTGAGTCTGACCACGAGGTAGTGGTCACCACGAAGTGGTGAGTTAGAACCACGAGGTGGTGATCTGTCAGGCCCAAGCCCATGATTTTAGGGTTTTCAACGTATTTAAGCTCAATGTTCCGCATTTTTAAGCATTTTATCAGCCTATACCACCTCGGAGAAACCATAGCCTCCACCTTCAAGATTTGAGCCCCTCCTCTCCCCTCTATCCTCTTTTGGATGCTTTTACGGTATTTTGATGAAGCACAAAGATTAAGGAAGTTCTTTTGGTTGCAAGGAATGATGCTTCAAGCTTGGATCCATCAAGGGCACAACATTTCTTGGACTATTGTAAGTATAAAGTTGTTGGATTAGATGTCTAAGCCCATAACTATTATTGGTATGTACTCGACCCGAGAGTAGCATGGTCCATTTGGGTTGCATATCATCAGACAATTTGTTAGGATGGACTTTTGAGAGAAGGTTATATATATATATATATATATATATATATATATATATATATATATATATATATATATATGATCTATTAATATATTATAAGTTCTAATATATTAATATGAAATCGTATGTTTTAATTAGTATTGATCAAGAATTAATTTGGAAATAATTTAGTGATCAAAAGAGACTAATTAAATCTATGGGGACTAATTATGGTAATTAGTTATATTTATATGTGTTGGGCTTATGATCCATGTTGGACCGAGTTTATGTATGGATACATAAAGAGTCGGGCCACATGAACCATGGATCATAAAACCCATGGGTATGGATTTAGGTTATACCCATGACCCTTGGAATCCTACATATAAATAGGTGAGTACATAGCCAAAAACGTGACTTATGATCTTGGAGTTCATATAGATGGTTTTTGGTGTATGAAGATTCTCTCTAAAAAATGTCTACCTTTGTCCATGATGTGTTGTGACTTCATTTGAGGCTTCCACACTATTGGGGCTAAGCTCTTAAGGCCAAATACATCAAGACCTCAAGCTACATAAAAGGTATGTTACCCTAACTAGTATCTTATATGGTTTATGTCAAATGCATACTAGTTATAGGTTTAATGCCTTGGAAACCATTTGTATGTATAATTAGTGAAAACATAGATCCAAGGTATTTAGGGTTGCATGTGCACCACAGGATGTTGTAGTATGCAAATCCCATCAGTGGTAGCAGAGCCTAGGCTTGGTTTTCAATTATACTTGATGCAATTGCTGAAAAAATCGAAATTCTGGCTTTTTGGACTATAGACTCGCCGAGTCCACTGGGGGACTCGCCGAGTCCAAGAGTAAATTCATCCTACTCGTCGAGTAGGTTCATACACTCGACGAGTAGGAGGCCCAGAGTGCAGATTTTCGACTTTTAAGGCTGGAATTGGACTAGAATCATTACCCTAGGCTGTTTTTGAACTGATAAACCTGTTTTTGTTGTGGTAATGATCACTCTAATCCAAATCAAAAGATAATTATCAAAAGTTTCATGTTTTGTATTAGTTTAATGGTTAGGTTAATTACATGAAAATTGTTTGATTTGAATTGTCTTGTTCATATGAGTTTAATCTAGATCATAGTTTTCTTGACATGTTTGTTAGTTTATTAGATGATCTAAATGGCCTTTAATGGATTCCATAACTTGTACTAAAGTTATGGAAAACCAAAAGTTTTTGTGTTATATCTTCATTAAAAGCCATAGGTTACACACTTGAAGAGTTGCTTTTCATAAATTGTTTTTTGTCCTCCATAACTTGTCCTCAAGTTATAGATTTTCAAGAGTCTCTTCATTAAAGTTTTTAAAACCTATATTAAACTCATTTGTTATGAAATTGAAGAGTTTTTTTTGAATTTTTCAAAACCTGCCCTCAAGTTTTGGAATTTCTAAAGTTTCCCCCATGAATACTTTAATTCCAAGTTAAACCGTTAGAATTTTAAAAGTTAAAATTCAACTCTTACACTATTATAATATTAATAGTTAAGATTTATATATATATACAAGAACAAAGTCATTCTTACCGTTAGTAGGCCTCATTCACGAAGTCGGTCTTTAAGGGGGGTATAAGGTTACTGCCTATAAAATGGCAGCTTAATGGGTGTCCACTCTCACCCACCGCTTCCTTAACTGGTGGAGGGTCGTTACCCGAACGGGTAGGACAGGACATTAATTATCCCTTCATTAAAAGTATAATGATAAGTCTAAAGTAACTAAACTTTATTAATTCCCAATCTTAGTTACTTAGGAAAATGTGAATTTGGTGCTAACCCATGAAATTGCACTTTGCACCTTGTTAAGTCGTTAGTGGAGCGTGTGTGGTTAACCGGCACACTAATCTGGGACTGAGAATGTGTGGCAAAAGGTATCTTGATGTTAATCATAGATCAATGGAGCGTGTGTGGTTAAACGGCACATTGATTAGGTGGTTGTAACATTGGGTGTACCAAGCTAATTTGCATGGTTATTCACTCCTTGTTTGTGATCCTCGACATCCCAGTCACAAACTTGAAGGGCACAATCGAGATTTAAACATGCCATTGAATAGTTCAATGAATCTCAAAGGATCTAGGAGTTTCAGTTCACTTAAGACCTAAAATTCCTTTTCGTTTTTCATGGTGGAAATTGGTAAATCGTCATTTACCTACCTTCAAATATTTTGTAGCTTGGATTACGGCATCCCTCTTCCAAGTTATAAAATAATGTGTTGGGTCCTAGCCTTAATATTTCATATTGGGTGTTATATTAAGGACTTAAATCAACTAAACTTGAAATTTCTCCCTTAGAGATGTCTAGGTCAGACAACTATGGTCTTCCTTGTCCTATTAGATAAAGCTTTC